CCTACCTTGATAAATAATATCAAAAATAGAATACCACTCAAAATAGCCATTAGTCTAAGAGTTTAGGGTAAGAAGAGGGTAAGAGGTCAATTACATGGAAAATGGGAAAAAAACATACAAAAAAAAATAGTGTGATTCTCAAAGGGTGTTAATTGCATCATCATCTTCACTTGGAAACTTGTCAGATTAAACAATTATCTGGCCCTACACCAGCTCTACTGAATTAAAAACACTGGAGGTAGGCTCTACGTTCTGTTTTAATAAAACCTCCAAGTGATCCTGGTGCATGTCCAAGTTTGAGAATCCTTGAATTAGAGCATGGGTACAGGGCTAAGGTTGGGGAGTTGTGACCCGAGTGTGTGAGAGCCCAGGCCAAGACCCATTTTTTCTTCCATTCTCCTTTATTCTACAAAGAAATAATGGTTACCAAATTCTAACATTTTATCATTTTTAATAATAATTTATATGGTAGAACATATGCACAGTAAAATATATAAATCTTAAGAATACAGATTGATAAATTTTTAAGTAGCCACCATACAGATCAAGATGTGGAACATTTTCAGTACCCTCGAAAACTTCCTCATATCACTTCTTAGTCATTACCCATTCATTAGGTAATCATGAATCTGATTTGAATCATCATAGCTTTGTTTTGTCTATTCTTGAAATTCAAAGAAGTAAAATATAAATAAAAAAGTGTCTGATTTCTTTCAGTCAACATAATGTCTATGCAGTTCACTCATGGAAGTTGAATATATCAGTAGTTAATTCTTTCTAATTATGTATTGGGAATATATTATAATTTATTTCCATCATTAACCTGCTAATAGGTATTTAAGTTGTTTGAATTAGGAATTAAAATATTGGGGATGGGAATATAGCTCATGATATAGCACTGGCCTAGCATGTTTAAGGTCTTGGGTTCAATCCTAAGCACCACAAAATAAACCAACCAAACCAAACCAAACCACACGGATTGAATGTTTGCTATTATAAATAAATCTATCATTTTCATACATGTCTTTTGATGGAAAGAGGCACTAATTTCTTTTAGGTATCACCAGGACTTATGTTTGTATCTGTGTGCACGTATTTGGCTTTAGTAGATATATTTATCAGTTTTCCAGATAATGAACCAATTTATATTCTCGTCAAAATACCTCTGCTCTAGAATTTTGCTCTTCATGTTCTAGCCACTAGTAGCTTTAAACTTTACCATTGTTCAGCCTAGTAAGACTGTTAGGGTTATACTCTTTTGCAGTCCTGTTGAGAGTTCAGGACTTTCTATCTCTGCCATCTGCTAATCCCTAAAGAGTAATCTGCTATTTGTACCTATATCACAGTATGATTAATAGCAATAGCAATAATGTTGATAACATTCTTGGAGAGTGAGTATGTTCCTCCAACAAATGAAATGCTTTAAATATAAGAATCTGTCACTTTTATTTAGAACATAGGGTTAAATATATTCCATTTATAAATGAAATTGAGACATATAAGTTATTTATCAAGAAACTAAGTTCACAGAAAGTCTTGTAAAATTCTGCATACAAAATTATCACAAAAATAAAAACATAATAACTAATGTGAGAATGGTTGCTCTTCACAGGTTAGTAATAACAATGAATACTTACATACTATGACTGTTGATATTTTACAAAAATACTTAAAAGGCACATGGGCCAACTTTAAGAATCATGTCTTTCATCTTTATATTCCAACATAGTATCTGTTAAATAGTATTTATAACCTATGCTGAATAATTGAACATATACACATATACATAAATGTTGATGATTAAATAATATCATACTTCTGAGTTCACAAATACCAGAATTAAGTAGGATAGACAATACTTGATCAGAATACTTGATATCCAACATATCAGAAAGATTCATTAAACAAATGGAAATGAACTTTAATAGGGAATCAGTACTGTGGGCATCTATCCATAGAAGACTTAGGTGATTCATTTTATCATATTCTCTCTCAGTACATAATCATGACTACATAGAATACATTTGGCAAATACTTGTTGAATCAAAATTTATACCTCTATAAATCTCTTAGATCCAACTTCTCCTTTCTATTAGTTTGAACTACAATAGTTTTCAATACACCTCCATTTTACTCCTTTTACAAAGAAGCTGTGGTTGCCATACTAATCCTCATAAGCTATTTTGACAATATGATTTTTATTTTCAAATTTCATAAATGGCTCCTTAATAGCCAGGACCTTTCATAAAACAAACAAACAAACAAACAAAAATGCACAAAGAGTGCATAGTACAAAAGCTTGTCACCAGCATTCAGCTGGAAATACTGCTACACTGCTGAAAATTAATGAACTTGAGCTGGCAAAATTAGTTATCCCTATGTGTTAAAATAAGAATGTATCCCTATGCAAAAAAATCAGTGTGTTATGTATTAAAAATAGTGAAATAAAATGTAGATAATTTTAAAACAATCTCTGTTAAGTTCTTCAGTTTCCCAGCTGTTGTTTACTGCTGGGTTTCTTAGGGCCCCACCTTACACAAGAATAGTTTGGCAATCTGCTGATGACCAGTAAGGAATTTGTATCCAGATTTTTGGGCTCCTACTCTGCAGTTCCCTCTGCTTCCCAATTTTTGCTCTTCAAGTTCCAGGCACTAGTAGCTTCAAACTCTATCTTGGTGTGTTCAACCTAGAAAGACTGTTAGGGTTATACTATTTTGCATTCCAGTCTGGAAAGTGCCTTTTAGGAAAAAGCAGAGATGAATTTGGTACTCTACTAATATGCCCTCCTTCTCCGAAGAGTTATAGTTTCTAAGATTATGCCTATGCTGATTATTCTCAATGCATTCAAACAGTGTGGGTATGTTTCTCAGTTCTTATTGATGTTTCTGGAAAGCACGTTAGTCCAAAATAAGCAGTCATGGCTGAACTAAAAACTAGTGATGAAAGTCTTTTGTTGGTTTCTCATTTTTCTGTTGGTTTCTTTAAACATTTCATCAGTGGTTATTTTATATTGTGAATATATTATATTTAATAATGTGAATATTTGATTTTTTCACAGACTAATCTATTGTTTCTGCTGACTCTCATTCATGGTAGATTACTTCCTTATGTGTTTGGTGATCTTTCATTGTGAGATCATGTTTATTTCAACATAAGCTATTCCTGGAAACTTAAGGTAAAGTTGTTTACTCTAAAGAGAAGTTGTATTTGTGTCTGCTCAGAAGCAGACCTGGGACATATCATCTCTGGCTCTTCTTTGAAAATCATTTTATATCATTTATTGTCTTATTCCTGCCTGTTCTATATTACTTCTGATTTCTTATTAAGTACAAAACCAAAACAATACCAGGTTTAATCAGGAAGAGCACAGTACTAAAAAGGTATTATCATTCTTGTTTTGGAAATTCTACTTAGCACTAGTATCAATTAAAGACATTACTTCTTTTGTCAAGTATAGAAAAAAGAACAGCAACAGAAAAAAAGAAGAAGATGTGTAATTATCAAAAACTCCAAAGTATCAGGTTTCATATAAATTATAATTCTATTTATCCTTTGACAGTATAAAACACCCATAATTTAAAAAATTAAAAATGGAAACAGAAAACAATGTACTACATCTTATAAAGAGATTTACAGCTAAGATATCTGGTTGTACACACCTCTTTTCTCAATCATTTTGTCATATTAATCCTTACAAAGATGTCATGGTGTTGGATCATCAACATAAATCCTCATTTTTGCCCAACATAATCTACTTGATGTTAAGTTCTTCCAACCTACATTTTTGAAGTTGAATTTTATATATGTATGAATCAAAATGAAGAATCTAAAGGGTATCAAAATTTTAAGACTGGGGCTAGTCTCAATCTGAACTGTTTATTTTTTTATGATAACATGTTAAATGGAGTTACCTTCCCTGAGTGAATAATTTACCAGTTGACAAGCCTAGGTGAAAGGTTATAAATACTTTAGCAGTAGTTACACTGAGATTGAAAATGAGGGCCATTAAAAAAATTACTATAATGAAAAGCAAATTCAGTAAAAATAACTTTGGAAAAAACCTGACAGACCTAAGTGATAAGAGCACATAACTAGAATATTCAGTAGTATATCTTAATGTCAGCCTCTTTTATATGCATTCAACTAATGAAAAGATATTTTCTAACCCCTCAATTAATCAGTTCTATCTGATCACATTTTTTTAATGGGAAATAACTAACAGTTTCTGCTCGATCCAGCTCATTTTTATTGCTTTTTATCCCCAAAATATAGACATCTAAAATAATAAAAAGAAAAATACCATGCAGTGAAAAAATATCTTATTCACCAAAATTTTAAGGAGAGAAAAATTATTTTCAGGTAAGTTTTTAAGTTAAATTTAGAAGTTTCCCATTTTCTCCTTTTAATGTGTTTAACCTTTTAAAATCTGATCTTTTGACAATGTCTATAAAATCTTGAAATTATTGCTATCAGCAATATGATTTAGATTTTTTTAAAAGTTGAAAATACAGAATAAATAAATTTATTTATGCCCCCAATGCTAATCTCAAGAGAAATTACATCTTGTAATGTAAAAGTAATGTTAATTAAGTAAGTAAATTTAAGCAGGGAAAAGTACAAAAATTCACATTTATTTCTTCCAGTACTTAAACCCAACCAATTTTAACATTTTGTGTATTTCTTTTTAGTTTTTCTTTTTTCCCTATACATAGATTTGTAACGTACTTTACTCATATAAATTTTGTTTCCTTCCCCCTGCTCTGCCCCACTAAACATGAGATCATAGAACAAATTCTATTGTTTGGGAAAACTGGTTAAGAGAATACAGTCACTAATAGATAACTGTGCTTTAGTATTCACAGTTTAAAGACTGTTTTCAGAAAACATGAAGCCTAAGAATCAGTATTTGTGGTTTCTTATCTGCCTATTGTATAATTCTACTAATCAATTAACAAATACCAAACGAAATGTTTAATTTTCAAGGTAATTTTACTTCTCACCTTTTGAGCTGCAAGATGGAGGGCTGTTCTTTGGCTATGGTCAGTTTTATTGACATTTGCTCCTGCCTTTAGGAGAGCATCTGCGCAGTCCAGTCTGTCAGCCAGTACACAATACATAAGTGGTGTTCTCCCAAATTGGTCTTCCTTGTCTTTCAGAGCTGAGTTTCCTGTGAGTACAAGAAACAGTGATATTTAATAATGTCTATCACTAATATAAGTAGGAGTTACATTAAATGTTTATTATTAAGTACTCTACTAGTGCATTAGATATATTTCTTCATTTTTACTTACACTATGAGGTAGACATTACCATTCCTGTATTATGGAAACTGAGGTTCAGACAAGTTAAATAACCTGTCTACATTCATACTGAAAGTAGGTGGTAGAGCTAGAATTCAACTGATTAATAATTCTACAGGACATTTTTCCTCTAAGACTGAATAAACATTTTGCGATACGGAGTTACTTATGTTCTTCCCTCCTTTGTTTGGTTAACAAATGCTTATTTAGTGCCAATCATATACTAGGCAATGCATATGTTTTTATAAGTGACACAAAAATGAATCATGGTTGGTTTTACATTCTATCCAAGATGGACAAATACACGATATCCTGATCTTCCTGCTAATTACCACTAAAAACCCTGGACAAAAAAAGTAAAAAGAAGTAAGAAGACAAAAGTAAAAAGAAGACAAGAGAAGGCAGGCTGAAGAAGGTCTTGGAAACTTGACAATCTGGTGGCAAGTAGCCTGAAGTTTTTTTCTTCTGTATCTAGCTATCCTGGTGCTAGAATAGCCTAAAATCTGGAAAAACCCACTGGCACAGATATAATATTTCCCAAGAGATAACTGTTCTCTCCAGTCAAAAGATCAGGTAAACCCTGCGGAGTAAACTCTTTTGATTAAACCTGCTCTACTCAAAGCACATACTAAAAAAGAAACCACTCCTCTTCTTCCCAGTAGGCCCTGCAAAAACTATGGGGAGGAGTCCAGTCAACCATAACTGCCTAAATTAAGCAAAGGATCACAATGAGGTGGTGGTGTACCCTTTCTCAACCAGAGAACAGGGGAGGGTTCTGGAGAGTAGGAAGCTAGAGAAAGTTCTTTAAACTGATGCATGGGTTCATAGATGCTTCTGAGCAATCCATGTATGGAATTGATTCGAATCTAAACAGCAAAAGCTCTGATAATTAAACTCTAGGTAGAATACTTTCCAGGTCCTAAATTGGCCTAGGCAGCACAGAAATAGGGCAGACTAGAAAAGCCCTACAAGAGCTCTGAAAGATAAATTGATATTTTATCACAGTCCACAAAACTGAAATAGAATATTTACTCCAAATTGAAACAGACTGTCAATCTAATAAAGTAGAATATTTAAATAGAATCTAGCCTTATTATATCTAAAATGTTCAAAAGACATATAATAACAAGTATTAACAAGGATATAGAGAAATCAAAATCTTCACATAGTGCTGGAAAGAATATAAAACGGTAGAGTCACTTTGGAAAATAGTCTGGCAGTTCCTCAAAACCCTAAACACAGAATAACCATTTGGCCCAATAATTCTTTTTTTTTTTTAATAGTGAACCCAGGGCCTTGCACATGCAAGACAAACACTCTACCAACTGAGCTATATCCCCAGTCCTCCACTTCTAAGTATACATTCAAGAGAAATGAAAACATATCTACACAAAAACTGGTACACAAGGTCTACAGCAGTATTATTCCTAATGGCCAAAATATGGGCACAATTCAAGTGTCCATAAACTATTGATCAACTGATGAGTAGATAAACGAAATGTTATATATCCATACATTGAACCATTATTCAATAAAAGGAATGAGTTTTAATATATGCTACAACATGGATGAATCTTGAAGACATTATGCTAAATGAAAGAAGCTGGTCAAAACACCACATGTTGTATGATTCCACTTATATGAAATGTCTGGCACAGGAAAATCTATAGAAACAGAAATAATATTAGTGGTTGCCTAAAACTGGGGGCAGGGATTGGATTCCCAGGATCCCAGCTAAAGGGTTCAGATTTCTTTTGGGTGGGGGGTAATGATATTATTCTAAAATTAATTGTAGTGGTATGTGTACAACTCTGTGGACATATAAAACCACTAAATTGTACTCTTTAAATTGGTGACTTGAATGACATGTGAATTATATCTCAATACAGCTGTTAGAAATAGCCCCATTATATATAAATAAAATAGAATACTAAAAATGCTTAATAAATGGAAAGGAAGACAGGAAAAGTGAAACAGGAATTAAAAACAGAAGAAACACAGAGTGAACACAAACTGGGAATCTTAAAATTCTAACATCCATTATTAGAAAATGAAAGACTGAGATGGATAAAAAATAAGAGGAGCCAAATATATGCTATTTATAAGAAATTCACTTAAAATAGGATGACATAGGTGGCTGAAAGTAAAAAAAAATATGCAAAGATATAACATACAAATATTAATCAAAAGAAAGCTGAAGTGAAGTAATATCTAATAAGGTAGACATTGAAGCAAAGACATTTATTATAATAGTAAAAAGGTAGATTCACTAAGAATATATAGCAACTCCAAATGTATATGTACCAAAGATGTACCAAATAATAGATCTTTAAAATATATGTAGCAAAACTGATAGAGTTGAAAGAAACATTTGAAACTTTCAAAATTATAGTTAGTCACTTTGACTCCCATTTTCAATAATTGCTACAACCTCTAAAATGAAAGTCAGCAAGGATACAGAAAAATGAACAATATTATAAAGAAACAGGATCTAACTGATATTTGTTGAATTCTTTGTCTAATGATAGCCAGATACAGTCTTAAAATACCCATGGAACATTCACCTTCAAAACAGACAATTTCTGAGTTATAAAACCAAACAATAAAGAATTAAAAAAAGGAAAGTCATACCAAGTATGTTCTCTGGTAATAATGTAATTAAACCAGAAACCAGTGTCAGTATCATAACAGGAAATCACCAAATTCACTTTGAGATAATCCATGGGTTAAAAAGAAAATCTCAGGGAAATTTAAAACATAATTAAAGGAATGAAAATAAAAATATTGTTATAAGATTCATACCCTATAAATGAGGGAGGCTTATAAGGAAATGTACAGCATTGAATGTTTGCATTAAAATATAAGGACAGTTTCAAACCAATGATCTAAGTGCTTAATCTTGGTATTCTAAGAAAGGAGAGCAAATTTAACCTAAAACAAGCAGAAGGAAGGATAAAAATAATAACAGAGATCGATGAAGTTAAAAATCAGAAAAACAACAGAGAAAAATCAATGAAGCTTAAAGTTCTGGGAAAAAAATGATACATCTGTAATAGGATTGATCAATAAAAATAGCAGACACAAATTTCCAATATCAGGAATGAAAGAAGGGGCCATCTTTTAGAGCTTGCATACATTAGAAGGAAAACAGGTAAAAGCAGAACTATTTTATGCCCATAAATTTACAGTTTAAGTGAAATGGATAAATTCCATGGAAGACATAATCACAGCCCACTTACAATACAGATACCCTCAACAGTATTTACGGTAGGCAAAACTCTAAGGTAGCTTCCAAGTTACCCTAGTATATATGGTGTGTATCCCTTCTTCCTGAGTGTGGGCAGGGCCTGTAAATATGATCAGATGTCATTTCCATGATCAGGTTCTGTTTTGTAAAAATTTAAAGGGATTTTGCAGATGCAATTAAGGACCTTAAACATTCAACTTTAAATTAATCATATTATCTTGGATGCATATGTGTATATATATATATATTTATGAACTTATTTATTTACTTATTCATTTCAATTCTGGGGATTGAACCCAGGGCCTCATGCATGCTAGGTAAGGACTCTATCATTGAGTTACATATTTGATCCTTTGTGTTGCTTTTTGCTTTGTGTGTGTGTGTGTGTGTGTTGCTAGGGATTGAATCCAGGGCCCTGTGCATGCTAGGCAAGTATTCCACCATTGAGCCATACTCCCTACCCCCTCCTGTTGCTTTTTAAAAGAAGTTCAGGTCAGAGATGGAGGAAGTTGGAGACATTTCAATCAGCAGAAACACTCTCCTCAGGCCTTAGAGAAGCAAGGTGCCATAAATCTTAAAGCTAAAAGAAGGTGAATTCTGCAAACATGTACTTGGAATAGAATTTTGATGTTTTAGATGAGACCCTAATGTGGCTAACGCTTTGACTGCAGCCTTGTGAAATCTTGAGCAACAATGCCTGCTAAACCATATCTAGACATTTGAACCACAGAAACTGTGAGGTAGCAAATGCTATTGTTTTAAATTCAGTTTGTGTTAATTGTGGTACAGCAATATTAAACTAATGTAGTATGCTATCTATTAAAGAAATTAAATTCATAATAAACCCTTCCCATGAAGTACTACTAAGAACAATGTGTTCAAAAATTTCCAGACATGACAGGCATGGTGGTGCATGCCTATACTCCAGTGATTCAGGAGGCTGACGCAGGAGGATCACAAGTTTGAGACCAGCCTTGGCAACTTAGTGAGATCCTGTGTCAAAATTAAAACAAATGAAAATAAAAATGTTTGGGGGAATGTAGCTCAGTGATAAAGTACTCCTGGTTTCAATCCCCAGTAACAACAACAACAAAAAATTCCCAGAAGCAATTTTTAAAGAAATGGATGTGTGGTTTTAAAATTGGTCTACAAAAGCAAAAGGAGTGGAAGGATAAAAGTATTTGGAAAAGAAGAGAAAAGTTGGAGGACTCACACTATTTGATTTCAGGGCATACTATAAAGGTACAATCATGAAGATACTATAGTAGTAGTAAAGGAACAGACATGCAGTTCAATATAATAGATTTGAGAGTACAGAAACATATATATATAAATGTATATATATATATAATCAATTATTTTTGACAGAGCTGCAAAGACAAACAATCTTTTTAAACAAATGAAGCTGGAAAAATCTAACATTCATAAACAAAACCCAAAACCAACCCAAACTATACTTTGCACCTGTCCTACTTGCTGAGGGCCATTACCAAGTAGGAATGACGCATCGAAATTTCCTTGCCAAGCGTACCCCATGCTGCTTAGAGGACATTCGATGGGACATTGCATGCATGCTTTAATAAGGTGACCTTGCTCAAGGACCAAGGCAGATCCGGGTTT